ATTTATTCTAAAAAAAGTTAGGAACAAAATTAAATTAAATAATGTAATTCATCTCAATCCTTTTAAATAAGAGGAATTGATAATCGAGGAGGGGAAGTTTTAATATTTTTATTCTAAACTAATATAGCCAACTAAAATTATGATGAAACCTACTTGATTTGACATAAATTTTTATGATTTTTATATTTTTAAAATTATGATTTTATGATGAGTATATATTATTATTTTTATTAATGCTTTTTAAAGCTTGATCATCATTAAAATTGGGTTAAATGCTAAATTTGGTCCCTCAACTTTAGTGAGTTGCACATTTTTGGTCCCTTAATAATTTTTTGCACTTTTTTTATTCCTTAACTATATGAAATGCACTCCGTTAGTCCTTCTGTTAATTCGGGCCGTTAACTCGCTTATGTGGCATTTTTTATAATTTTTTTATGATGTGGCAAAAATAATTTTAAAAAATGTTGATGTGGAATTTTTTTTTAAGCCAACTCACTGCCAACTCATCAACTAATTTTGCCTTAATAAAAAATAGAAAATTACAAATTTACCCCTCTCCCCTTTTTGATCCATCTTCTTCCCCTCTTTCGATTATCTTCTTCCTTTCTTTTTTTCTTTTTCTTTCTTCCTCTTCTTTCTTCCTCTTCTTCCTCTATATCTGCTAGCCCGTGGGCTGGGTTCCTTGAACCCAGCTCCACTTTTTTGCATTTTTTTTTTGGTTATATTTTGGTTTGCTCAAAGACATTATATGTTTGTTATATGTTCAAAATGGAAATGGAAAGAACAAAAGCAGTTGGGCAAAGAAGCTTATTGTGTTTTCATTTGTTTGGCTGGAAAATGGTATAGTTTGGGTGTTTGGATGCCGAGAAAATGCTTTGAATTTGGGTGTTTGGATGCCGAGAAAATGCTTTGAATTTGGGTGTTTGGATGCCGAGAAAATGTTTTGAATTTGGGTGTTTGGATGCAAAGAAAATGCTTTGAATTTGTTTGATTGGCAAGATTGGTTACTGAGAAAATTATAATGGCCTGTTAAAAAAAAAATTTAATGAGAAAGTGGTGATTTAATTATAAATTAATTTAGAATTTTAATTTTAATTAATATAAATAATTATAGTTTAATGATGATTAATTAATAAAATTT